TTAAATTACATAAAAAATCTACCAAGTCACGTCAAAGATACGTCACTCTTACTTCTCTCACGAAGCCCATGTACAAAATACTGTTTGTAACTGGTATTAAATTCATTCGGCAGGTAAAAAAAAACTAAAAACCTGATTATTTTCTACAAGACATTAAATCGAAAACAATGTTTTTAAATTCATGCGCGAATGCTCTTTTCGAGTATTATATAAAAAAAAAGAAAAAGAAAAAAAACACAGGCTGACGGACAAGTGAGCAAAAATAATGCAAGTCTTTTTTATTTTATTTTACCTATATTCATGGACACATTTTATGGAAATAGTGTACAAGCACCTTATGTATGACAAAATCAATAAAGTCATCGACAAAGAAAAATTTAATCACGTCTTGTCATTAATTTGTGCTGTACTTGGGGTGGTGGGATAAAAGAGCAAACTTGACTTTTACGCCTCCAAACGAAGTTACAGAGAGGACCCCGTCTAAATTTAGTCTCCCCCATAGCGAGGCTTGCTCGTTCGCGTATATAGGGGGGGGCCAAACCAGAGATGACGATTTTATACCCAGCACGAGGTAAAGCGTTCGGGATGAACCGAGGAGTTTGTTGGGCCTCGAGACATGACGGATTACTGCTACTTCTACGCGAGGGCATTCAGACTCGATTCCACGGCCCCGCCGACCATCGACAAATTCGTCAGAGGGTGAGCGCCTCTTTGATTACTAGCTTTTTCCCTCGACCGATCCGCACAGAAATTTTTTTTTTTTTTTTTCTTATACATTTTTCTAGCTATTCATACAGCTATTTAAAGGTACAACATTCATTTTTTCACATTTTATGAATAATAATACTCGACAGATGCGAATTACACGGTACTCTTTGTTTACCACAAAATTAATACGGCAAAACTGGGACAACCCATTGAAATATGATTTAAAAATTTTGATTTACCCTTTTCAGGGTAATTGAGCTCTTTGTGTCCTAATTTTACCTTAATTTTTCTGTGGCTTTTCCTTCCCGCGAAGCATTTAGAAGGAAACGCAGATATCGTGTAACGCGGTCCCCCGCTTTTTTCTTTATTTTAGAAATCCAGAGTTACTGGGAATATCGGGAGACTTGAGTCAAACTTTTGGCAAGTACAAGCTGCTCTCGCGACCACTCACGGGAGGATTTTCGGGCACGGGGGACGTCCACAACCCTGCAAAACACGTGTTCAAGGTCTCCTCTTTGCTTTATTTTTCAAGCCATTTATATAGTTTTTTTTTTTTTTTAAGGCACAGGTAGCTTACACACATATTTCATCGTCTTATCGCTCTGCAAGACTCACCGACTCATGCATGACTATTGCTTTTTACATGTTATCCAAGTGAGATGTTTGTATGTAACATTATGCTTTTTTCTTACTCTTTTTATTGATTTTTTTTTTTTACCTACTTTTGTGTACTACTTCAACTAGTTTTTTCGTCTCACTGGCATTCACTATTTCTTCATTCCTCTTTATTTATTTATATATAATTGTATTTATTTGCGCAGGCAGTCATCATCATCACAATAAGAATTTTCGTTTTAATATACATTACAAAAGTTTGTCACTTTATGCATGTTTAATTCTAAGTTTCTTCGACCGCCGTGCTCACTTTTAATTTATAAAGCAAAAAAAAAAAAACTTGCGTTTCGTAAAAAAAATCACAGTATTGATTAAAAAAATGGAACGAAAGGTAGGACAAAAAGGTAAAAATTGAATTTTACCTGCAATGGGAAGATACTTATTTGTGAAACAGAAAAATACCTATACATAAGTATTTAGATAAACTCAAGTATGGCAGTTCAATTTCCGGGTTTTAGATCAGTAACCCGATGTATTTACTTTTCAAATGACAAGTGTCTGCAAGTATCGTTTGCAAACATAAAACAACAAGTAGGGGTACATGACGTATCGGTCCTCAAAGTTTTTATCATCCCATGGACACGTTTAAGTAGAAATTCTTGTGAGCGTAAATATTTCCGAAAGAAGGTTTCGTACGTTTAAAAATGTATAACTCACTGACAACTTTATCCCTCCCAATGAAGAAATTCATTAACGATGAGCTAATTAACGACGACGAGTTTTTTAAAGTCTTTGAGTAATCCCTCTAGTATTGAGCCTAATATAATAAAAGCAATCAAAGGAGAGAGAGAGAGAGGGAAAATGGTACATTTTTTAAAATTACACTTACAAAGCTCGTGACGTGCGCCCTACAGCTTATCCCAATAAACCACAGAAGCTCTTGTGCAGGTAATGTAATGGATTACTATCTGTCGATTTTTTGGGAAAACGCAATGACGTTTAGGGGCGTCAAACTGAGTGTACGTAGGTGTAGGTAATAAGTATGGCAAAGAGAAGGCACGAAGAAGCGACCTAACTGGAAGCGACGAGGCTGACACGGTTTCATCAGTAAAAGGAAGATCGGGTTTTTTTTTTTTTTTTTTTTTTCTTTACATGCGAAAAGTAAAAAAACGAGAAAAGTATTACATGATATTTATGTACGAAGTGACGGTAAAGTTCAAGTATATATTTACACTATAGTTTTTTTACAAGATGTAGTTTTTGATATTTTTTATGTCAAGCCTAATATGATAATTTTTAGAAATTTATTAGCAGCTCTTTATGCAACGTTTCTACAGCATATACGGGTGAATGTCACGTGAGCTATTAATGTGCATATAGAATCGCGGAAAATTGCACGTTTTGTCGTTCGATAGTAGATTGGGATCTCAAGGTTGGGGAAAAAAGGGCCTTTGCATTAAAATATGTGTACGTATATTTTTCCAAATGAAAACCCGGTGTCAAAGAAAAATTACTGTGTGTCGTTTCGTAATTTTCCCTCATAATCTCATAACTCATTGTAACGATGTCCAATTGGCGATTCGTACCCATACGTCTCTAAATTGTACTCGGTGATTTTCTTAAAAATTTTTTCAAAAATTACGTGACCGCAGACAATAATTTGATTTCGAAACGAAAGATAAAGTAAATCAGTGTATATGTAACGCGAGAACCCCCGTATACGTGTAATAAAATAATGTATAAGAAAATAGAA